CTGATCTAGGGGCATTTTGGAGATTTTACAGTGAGTTTTTTTCGATTCCGTTTGCGCTGATAGGTAGAAAACTCGATTTTAGGGGGGGTTTCTTCTTCGTATTTTTCCAGAAAAACTCGTCTTGACCTCCGTTTCAAGCCTCAGTTCTGGGCAGATTAAAAAAAATGTAGCAACAGCCAAGGCTGCCACCAGCCATGTCTTTGGGCGCCGGCATGCACGCCGGTGGGCTCGCGCATGGGCGCCGTGTGCGCCATGGCCTCTCGTCGGGCCGCCGCAACGTCAATTCTTCTTTTGGGCTTTTCTCCTTCGTTCGGACTCCGATTCAAGTGAATTTTTTTTTAAACTTGACTAATTTTTTCGCTGTCTTTCCAACGGTGTGCTCGGTTGCACCCGGTTCTTCCTGAATAATTACTAGTTTACCCTTTTTGCCTTAAGTGCTCGTTTTTCTTCGTCATGTCGTTTCTCCTTCGTCCGAACTCCGAATCATGCGATTCTTGAGTCCATCTTGATTAGTTTTTCGTTGTCTTTCCAACGGTGTGCTCGGTAGCACCCGAATCTACGGTTTTCAGAAATGACTATTGTGCCCCTGGGGCCTTATTTGTCATATTTTCAATCTTTTGCTTCCGCATCAGTTCTTGTTGAGTTCCACGACCTCATGGAAGGTCACTTTGACTTCTTAGAGTCTTATTTTTTGTTTTCGATTCCGCATTCGGATCCGTTATCGGATCATCCTTACGGTTCATCATAAGACACGCTGGCCTAAAAACCAGGGTCGTCACATATCGTCGGTAGAGTGAGTAGAAACCTCTGCTCAGCATGAACACGTCTAAGTCTGGAACTGTCATGTATCTGAAAAATAGAAGTGGGTCAGGCCCACATGCAAGTTCTATACTATTATAATCTAAACGGAGGCCCGATACATATGTACACCTTAAACAATTCAACAATAGCTAATAGTCCGTAAATATATATATAGTCACACTAAATGACTCTTACTGGACTATAGGCCGGTCTCAACCTGAATAGAGGTAACATGCTAAAACGTACACGAAGTGGGCATGTGTACCTAAACCTAAATAGGGTACACCTCTAACCATCGTATCTAGCTATGCATCCCAATGCGTATACGCTCCCTAACCGTCGATCCTGAGACTCAAGCTCATATCGAGGTACCATAACAATATACTTAAAATCCATCCTGAATCCTAGTAGTGCCGCTCAACTAGTCGTTGCCATGACACTACAATCAATAGGACTTAATCCAATTCCTAATCCAGAGTAGGTAGGTTTTGGTATTTTGAAACCAAACCGTCCCTAATATACCACCGTCCCATACCGGTGTATACTATCCAATCATCCAGCAGTTGATAATATTAACAATTAAAGTAAACATCAACTAAATCCATATCTTCATCACTGATACTAACAGGCATAGTGTAAGCATCAATAAACAGAATCAGCTATATACATAAACATGTTCAGTTGTATATCTAACACTGATACTAACAGTCATAATGTAAGCATTAAGAAATATAGTCACCATATATATACAAACCTACTCAGTTTAGGTTGTTTCATTAAATCTGATATAATGATAGGATTATTTCAAATTATCATTCAACACTCAGCAGTTGATATTACAGATATTTAGAGGAAACATCAACAAAGTCCATTCCTTCAACAGTTGATACTAACAATATTAATGCAAGCATCAAGACAGAATTACAGTATGTATATATACATTCTTAGTTTAGGTTGTTTTACAAAATCCTATTAGTGCTAATTTTAAGAATTATTATTCTTCAACACTAACATATTCTAAACAAGTCCAATTCAGATACATGCTCATGATATAGAGTTATACATGTTCCAATTATATCATCAGTCTCACAAGATTACTATTGCAGAGAAAATTAAACATTACTAGCTTCACAGTTTTAAACCTAGTTTAATTACCTGATTAAGTCCCTACTGTCCAAACTATTATAAGAAAGTAGACTTAATTAACCCCACATCTGAGGCTTTAATTTAACCATATACATCACTTAGACCCTCCATATTCAATTCTACACTCCACAGAAAACTCCAGAATCAACTACTGCATGCAAAAACTGACTGAAGAACAAAGAAAAATGGAAAAATCACCAAGGAGACGTCTCCCAAAAGTGGAGCCGCCTCATTTAGGCCTTGGAGCCGGCTCTCATGAGAATGTGACACTTGTCACATTTTTCAAAAATTGCAAAAAGGTCCTTTTTGAAAATATCTTTCAAAATAAATTGCAAAATGGTCCCCAAGACGAAAAATAATGACTTTATGTAATTACACTAAAACCCCAAAAATAAAGAAGAATTACAAGAAAGTATGCATTTATGCTTTTAAGAAAAAGTAAGTAACTAGAATGTATTTTCTATAAAAGTAAAAATACAAATGTCATGGAAATCAAATATCATGAATTCATGCAAAACCGGAATCAAATCCGAGCACAACAAGTGAGGTTATGCAAGGAAAAATGATAAACGGGAAAAAAGACGAAATAGGGAAAAGACAAAATAGGAAAAAGACGAAAAAAGAAAATCACTGAAAAAGGAAAAAGGAGGAAAAAGACCGGGTCATTACACAAATTCTTAGGTTTTAACAAAAATAGTTTGACTATTCTTAGTAGTTGAAGCCTTATTAAAAATTATTTCAGTTTTATCACCTATATGTTTGCCAACACTAATCATCTCATCAAAGCTTAATCTATCGAGAAATAAAAACAATCAATTTCTCTTGAAATTTTTTCAATTCAAATTCAAGAAAATTAACTTTAGTAACAAGAGATTCTCTAGTAGAATTAACTTGAGTTACCTCGCTTTTGAGAATTTTTATTTTTCCTTGAAGATTTTGATTTTTAGCATTATTCTCCTTAAGCAATTTCTGTTTTTATTCATTCATTCTTCTTCAAGGTATTATTCTCCTTTTTCAAAGCATCTTTCATGTTTTCTAGTTCTCTCAACTTCTTAAATTGCTCCTTGTAATCCTCGCTCAATACCGCATTTTGGTAGGTTCTCCAACACCAAAAGAAGAATCATTAGCACTATCATCATCGACATGAGCAACAAAAGTAATAGAATCATCTTTCTTATTTTTTTAATCTTTGAATTTAGAAGGATCTCCTTTACTATAAATTTTATTCTTTTTATTCTTAAAGAGCCTTCCATTACATGAACTAATCCACCAACAATTACATGAACTAATTCACCCATTTTCATTGGATTTTCCATGATAAATTTTTGAAAACAAAAATAATTTTATTTAAAAAAAAAAAAACTTCCACAAGGATCAACTCAATGTGTAGAGAATGTCTCTGATACCAATTGTGAGTTGCGCTATGCAAAATGGATGTGGAAGTTTGTATTAAAAATAACCTAGAGGGGGTTGAATAGATTTTACTTGCTACTTTTTCTAATTTTTACTTTTTTTATTTTGTTATTTTGTTATTTTTATTTTTAATTTTACCGAAATAAAACTAAAATCAAACCCACAAAGAAAAAATAAAGTGCAACTAAAGTAAGTAAAGTTTGAGAGATAACCCGAGTTTTTGTGCGTGGAAACCTTAGTTGGAAGAAATTCGACCAACCGGGATGAAAACCATAAAGACTTTCACAGCCTTGAGTGAAATAATCCACTATGTTTTAAGCAAAGTACAACTTACTTTGACTCAGGCTTACACCCCTTCACTCTACCAAGACTCAACTCGCTGAACGCTCCTAACTTTGCAACCTCCCGTTCAACAGCCACGACTTCAGACTTACTCTTTGAACCTTGTATTATTGGTATATCAACAATATTCCACGAATATTTTGACCCATTCAAAATGTGAACGGAACACCCATATTCTTCAAATCTGATTTTGATGAAAAATAATAGAAGCTTTGCTTTTTCTTAGCAGTATCATTGGATTTTCAATGATTCGAACTTCAATTAGATAGAGAACACCACCCTAAGATCACTTAAGTGTAATAATAGTATGTGCTCTCAAGCATATAAAAATATACAGAATAATTATGGTGATTTTCTGTAAAAAAAAATACTCTTAAACAAATATCTCAATTAGAAAAATGATAACCTTCGAGCACATCAAAATTTAAGAGAGAAAGAGAGTTTATATAAATTTTAGAAGGCCTAATCATACTTGGAAAACAAGTTAAATTCTTGCATAAAAGTCTCCCAAAAATTTGATAAAAAAGGAAACCGAATTGGAGTAGAAAAGCAAATTCTAATTTGGTTCAAGTGAACTCCAACTAGTTCAATAAAAAAGATGAACAATTTCAGTCATAGTAGTTTCAAAAACGGTAGTGGAACTGATTCAAGAAAAGATGAACTGGTTCGACTATATGAATTTTGAAAATTCTTTTTAATCTAAAATTACCAAAAATAAACACTCGTGTCCTCACACTTACCTTGACTAATATGTTGCTTTCTTTGAATTGGAGTGTTCTTACACGTTTTTTCGTACTTTTATTTTGCTTCTAAACTCAAGATTCAAAGTTAAATATTAAAATTATAACTTGAGGATTGATACCAAATTTGCCAATTATGAAATTTATATCTCACATAAGTGCATATTATATATGGCATATGCAAAGGGACACGTGCCGGTTGACGACTCGGAGTGATTTTCAGTTGGGGTTAGAGAGAGAGCTTGGAGGGTAAATGCAAAAAGGGTATTTATGTAAACCGAGTTTAAAATGAGTCAGTCATTTTCCGTTGGGGTCAAATGTACTTATAAACTTCAAATTCTTTTTCCTTAAATATAAAAAACTCTCTCTCTCTCTCTCTCCCCCTTTGTTTTTTTTTTTCTCTCTCTCTCTCTCTCTCCCCCTTTTTTTTTTTTTTAACACAATATATGATACTTTCTCTTAAAAATTATTATTATCCTAGAACGGAAACAAGTAAATTCGTTGGCCCATAATTTCTCCCGAAAGAGCCCGTTTGGAAAGTCTTTTTAGGTGGGAGGGAGGGAGAATAAAGTCTTTCACAGGAGGAAGGGAGGGAGTTCAATAGGAGTAACTGTAAAGAAGATATAATCTGAAGGTTTTATTTGATTCTGTGTGATTGAAAAATGGAAGCAGTAAAGTCACCCCAAAAAGAAACCACACCCACACCCACACCCTCACCCTCAAAGCAGCTTCAGATCTCCCCAAGCCCCACCACTCCCACCGTCGTGTCAGATATTCCGGCCCCCGTCGCCACCGCCAGTTCCAAGCCACCCGAACCATCTTCCGCCACAAACCCCCTCATCCACATCCCCAGCTATTCCAGTAAGTAAACTCAAACCTTCAATTACAATTCCTAGAAAATCAAAACCCTAGAAAGACCTAGTGGCTTCTTCTTTAAATTTTCTCGCATTTCTTTACACATTTTTAATTGTTTCGTTGTTAATTAATTAATTTATTATTTTTTCCATTTAGGATGGTTTTCATGGACCAACGTACACGAATGTGAGGTTCGATTCCTTCCGGAGTTCTTTGATGGGAGATCGGCGTCGAAGAACCCTAGGGTTTACAAGTACTACAGGAATTCGATAATCAAGAGGTTTAGAGAAAACCCCACCAGGAAGATCGCCTTCACGGAGGCTCGCAAGACTATTATTGGAGATGTTGGGTCGGTTCGGAGGGTTTTCGATTTCTTGGAGGCTTGGGGTCTCATCAATTACTCCGCTTCTGCCTCCAAACACCAGTTGAAGTGGGAAGACAAGGAAAGCAAGTCCAATGCTGTGTCTTCTTCGCAGAGCAACGAACCACCCAATAGCTCTGCCGATTTTACTGTTCCCAAGAAGAGATTGTGCAGCGGTTGCAAGTCTGTGTGCAGCATTGCCTGTTTTGCTTGTGATAAGGTAACCAATCCATTGTTTTAAATTTTTAAAATTTTATTTTTCCACCCAAATTGCAGTATTCTAATATTTTTATAAATATTTCCTGGTTTTCATAGCTATCTTAGCATTAATTGTTATTGCATTGTACCCAAATGCTAAGTTCAAATTAAGATGAAAAACTCTACTTGTTTATTCTAAAGCCTAAAACAAACAATCCAAATTGCAGTTTTCTAGTATTTCTCTTTCCTGTTTTCCATATCAATCTTACCATTAATTGTTAATTTGATCTACCCAAATACTAAGGTCCAGAATAAGATGAAAAAATCCACCTGTTTATTGCGAAAACTAGGCCAACGCAAGTGTTCAATTTTCTTCACAGTGACTTATTCATTGTAGTTTCATTTAACCAATAAATGGGTAAAAGCGTAATGGTTATTTCATATATTGGTACGGTATAAATATTAGTTGTTATTAATCGACCTTTGAAACTATTTCATCTTTTTTGTGCAGTATGATTTGACTCTTTGTGCAAGATGCTATGTCCGCGGTAATTATCGTGTTGGTGTTCTTTCATCGGATTTCAGACGAGTAGAGATCAGTGACGAGATCAAGACAGATTGGACGGATAAAGAAACTTTGCACCTTTTAGAAGCCATCATGCATTTTGGTGATGATTGGAAGAAGGTCGCAGAGCATGTTGGTGGCAGAAGTGAGAAAGAATGTGTCACTCGTTTTATCAAGCTTCCTTTTGCCGAGCAATTTATAGGACCTTCAGATTCTGGTGAGGTCAATAACAAGTTTTGTCAAACGAAGGACCAGAGTGATGCAGAATTTGGATCGCAAAGTGTTGGCTCATCATCCCCAACCAAAAAGATGCGTCTTTCCCCGCTTGCTGATGCAAGCAACCCAATTATGGCTCAGGTAAATACTTCTATTTTTGGGTAATTTTGTAAAATAAATAAAGAAAAAGACCCGTTTATCAGCAGCACCTTAAAGATGGGGCGACAGTTTATTGTGTGCCAGAGTTGCCCGTGAGCATTTTTCATTACTAGCTGGCTACTGATCAATGTAAAGCGGTATCTGGTAATGATAATGATATAAGTTGAGCTTATCTCAGTTTCTTAATAAAAGAGTGAAACTTCTTAAAGCTTGTCAAAATGGTACTGCTACTACTGCTCAAGTATATATGAGCCCTGTGCATTCCGTCTTACTACATGACCAAGGCACTTGGTTTAATACTTCCTATTTTTTTATTGGGTGTGGAAAACTTGAAAGTTTTTTAACTGCTTGATCAAGTGAATTGAGACTCTGGCTAATCCTCAAAGATTACGTCTGTATCTAATTAGTATATCTTCGGCCACTGAACCACAGTAATCCATGGGTTTCTTTTGTGCCACCTGATGTTGGCAATTTTTGTGTTGTATTGTAGTTTGTTCAACCACTGTACATCTTTACTTATTTGTACTTGAAATCTTTCTCAGGCTGCTTTCCTCTCGGCTTTGGCGGGTGTAGAGGTTGCAGAAGCAGCTGCTGGAGCTGCTGTGAGAGCTCTGTATGAGGATGATTATAGAATTACTAAAGAGATTCTTGGATCCCCTACCGGTGGTGCAAGACAGCAAGGTACAAGTGACTTCGTATGTGGAATTTACTTGAGCTTTCAGGATTTCTTTTCACATTGCATTTAGTAGGCCTTTTTTTTTGTTTAATTTTGAATGGGCATGGCATGAAGCAGTCTGCACAATTTGGAATATTTGCTTGCAATTGGTTTTGATGTACTTTGGTTCTATCAGTACTCTTTTAGATTGTCTCATTTTATTTGGAAAGCTTTTGTCTATCTCATGTAGATACTAGTAGTCAAACTCTCAAGAACTTAAGTCGCAATCCATACAATGCTTAAATCAAAGAACAAAACAATAGATGGTTGATGTGGATTTACTATAGGATTTTATTTACAGCCATGAAATGTACCTTCTTCTTGAACATAGAAAAGTAATTCAAAGAACAAGAAAGAGGGAGAAAGCTTACTTCAAGGGGCGCGGAAGACCTCCTGTTAGGACTCACCCCGTTGTGTAGATACTGGCTGCTTTGCGCTCTCCGTACTCACAGTTTTCAAAATGTGTGTACACAGTTAGGAGGCATCCATACTGTTATGACAAACGCAACGAACCCAAGTTGAATCAAGAATCACGACAGAAAAGTAAACACACCACACAAAGAACACAAAGATTTGTACGTGGTTTGGCAACGGCCTACATCCACGGTTGAGATCCGGCGAAAGTTTTCACTAAGTGTAAAATCGGATATTACAATATTTCAGCCCCTCACTCTGTTTTTGTACGAATTCCAGAGTCACTCTACCTCAATCTCTTTTATTCTCAACCTACAACTTATGTACCTATTTATACAGCTACAAACATAATTCCTTGTTGGACAAGGATTACAATTCCTTAGAGGCCAAGACTTGCCAAATAAGAAATTACCTACTCCCTCCGTCCCGTACTAGATGTCCTTTATGGGGAGTATAACTTTTTAAGGGGACATGTAATTATTACATTGTCTCTTCTAAAAATTACAAAGGTACCCTTTCAAGTTTAAAAGTATATATAATGAAGTTTGAATTTTTTTAAACTTTTAAGGGTATTTTATGGAAAGATGTGAAATATTTTATTTAAACTTGGTAAGCGGACAAGTATTTTGGGATAACCTAAAAAGGAAAGATGGACAACTATTATGGGACGGAGGGAGTAATAGAATACAACTCTAAAATAGAATCCTAATTAGAATAGGAATTTGAGACACAATTTCTAACAATCTCCACCTTGGCTTAAATTTCATCCAGCTACTCCTTTCGCCACCTCCACATGCCCCTAAGGGCCTCAGCAACTGCATGTACCAATCAAGTCCAGACAGTGTCTGAACTTGAGTGTAGGAATGACCTTATTCATCATATCTGCCAGATTCTCTGCTATCCCAATCTTCCTCACTGTAATAGCACCCTGTGCAACCACATCTCTGATGAAGTGAAACCTGACATCAATGTGCTTGGTCCTCTAATGGAACATCTGATTTTTAATCAAATGTATGGCAATTTGGCTGTCGCAAAACACAGTCAAATCATCCTGCTGCAAGCCCAAATCACCAACCAAGCCTTTCAACCATATAGCTTCCTTCACTGCCTGTTTAGCTGCCATATACTCAGCCTCAGTAGTAGACAATGCAACTACGGGATGCAAAGTCGCCTTCCAAGAGTGAAAACATGCCTTGTCAAGGACCTCCTCCTATCAAGATCTCTAGCATAATCCAAATCAACATATCCCGCAACACTCCCACACGTGTCTGCTCCCACACGTGTCGCTGCCTCTGTCATAGACTAACCCAACATCTGTAGTGCCTCGCAAGTATCGTAATATCCACTTCACAGCCTGCCAATGGACCTTCCCAGGTTTATCCATCTATTTGCTCACTACACTAATTGCATGTGAAATGTCTGGCCTAGCGCACACCATAGCATACATGAGGCGACCAACTACACTAGCACAAGGAACACGAGACGTGCTCCACCTCCTCCTCGGTTTGTGGTGACAATCGTGCTGAAAGTCTAAAGTGTGCAGCCAATGGAGTATTCACAGGTTTTGATACCTGCATACTGAAGCGTTCCAACACTTTCTTAATGTATTTCTTCTGTGACAAATACAATCTGCCCGCTCCTTTGTCCCTGTAAATTTCCATTCCCAATATCCTCTTTGCAGCACCAAAATCCTTCATCTCAAATTCACCACTAAGCTGAGCCTTCAACATGTTGATTTCAGACATGTTCTTGCAAGCTATCAACTGGTCATCAACATACAGCAACAAGTACAAATACGAACCACTTGAGAGCTTCCTGTGATACACACAACTGTCAAACTTACTCCTACAGTAGGCATTCCCAACCATAAAGGTGTCGAATCGCTTGTACCACTGTATAGGAGACTGCTTCAGCCCATACAAGGACTTCTTCAGTAGGCCAACATGATCTTCCTTTCCTATAATCTCAAATCCCTCAGGCTGATGCATATAAATCTGCTCTTCCAACTCACCATGCAAGAAAACAGTCTTGACATCAAGCTGCTCAAGCTCCAAGTCATAGAGAGCTACCATAGCAAGTAACATCCGGATTGAGCTATGTTTCACCACAGGAGAAAACACTTCATTGAAGTCCACCCCTTCCCTTTGTGTATAGCTCTTCGCCACCAAGCGTGCCTTGTACCTCGCATCTTCGACCACTGGAATTCCTTCCTTCTTCTTGAAACCCATTTACAGCCCACAATCTTCTGGCCCTTAGGCTTCTTAACTAGCTCCCAAGTCTGGTTCTTATGAAGAGACTCAATCTCCTCACTCATGGCGACATACCACTGTGCTGACTCTCCACTTGTGATGGCCTCATGATAAGTACACGGCTTATGAATATCCTCTGCCACACTAAGTGCATAAGCAATCGAATCAGCATGTGAAAACCTATACTTCTCAGGTGGTCTAATATCCCTCCTAGGCTTGTCTCTAGCCATACTATACTATTGCAATTGTGCATCTCCCTCAACCCGAAATTGCACCTGCTAGTGAGTCTACCGAACAGGACTATCCTCTAACTGGACCTCTACATGCTCCACTTGCTCACTTACACGCAGAGCTTTCCCTGAATCAACTACCTCCTTCTGCAGAGTAAGCATTGCAGACTCATGAAATGTCACATCCCTGCTAACAAGTATCTTCTTTCCCGAAGCCTCTGGGCACCATAATTTGTATCCCTTGACCCTAGCTGATAACCAAGAAATATGGACATCCAAATAGACTCAAATTACTGTAACTAGCAGGAGAACCAGACCATACCTCCTCTGGAGTCTAACAATCGATAGCAGTCGATGGAGACCGGTTCACCAAGTAACTAGTTGTAGAAACAACTTAAGCCCAAAATGCTTTCTCTAATCCTGCATTAGACAACATACACCATGCCCTCTCCAATAGCGTTCTGTTCATCTGTTCTGTAACTCCATTCTGTTGCGGAGTCTTCCTCACTGTGTGGTGTCTCACAATCCCGTAAGTCTTGCAGGACTCATTAAATTCTCCATCACAAAATTCTGAGCCATTGTCTGACCTCAAGCGCTTGACCTGTTTTCCTGTCTGCTTCTCAATTAAGGTCTTCCATTGCTTGAATGTAACAAAAGCCTCATTCTTGTGTTTTAGAATATAAACCCAAACTTTCTGAGAAAAGTCATCAATCAGTGTCATCATATATCTACCACCATCATGTGAAGTAAATTGAGAGGGACCCCAAAGATCAGAATGAATATAATCCACCGTACCCTTGGTCCTGTGAATTCTTGTACTGAACTTCACTCTGCACTGTTTCCCGAAGACGCAATGTTCACAGAATTCAACTTCCCAGTTTTTTGACCACCAAGCAAACCCTGCTTAAACAGAACATCCATCTCCCTCTCACTCATATGCGCAAGCCGCATAAGCCACAATCTGGTAGTATCTGAATCCGGATCCGAGGACGATATAGCAACTGAACTCGTGATTGTGCCACCCTGCAGAGCATATAAACCATGCTTCTTCAATCCCTTTATCACCACAAGAGCACCCTTGAAGACCCGAATGATTCCACCTCCAGCCTTAAGTGACCCGATGGAATCCAGCGTACCCAGGGAAATCAAATTCTTTCTCAGTTCTGATACATACTTGACATTAGTCAGTGTTCTCACTATGCCATCATACATTTTGATTCGAACTGTACTGAAACCTACAACCTTGCACACCGCATCATTCCTCATTAGAACTTCCCCTCCATCAATAGATCGATAAGAGGTAAACCAGTCCCTGTTTGGACAAGCATGAAACGAGCAATCTGAATCAAGAATCCACTCATCGCAAGGGCTGCCGACTGAAATTGTGAGAACATTACCACCATCTGAATCATTACCCTCTGCAACAGCCACACTTTCAATTTAAGAGGATTTTACCTTTCCCTTCTTACGCTCCAGGCAATCCTTTTTGAAGTGCCTGCCCTTGTGACAAATGAAGCATCTCAACACCTTCGTTTTGTTCTTTGACTTAGAACGACCTTTGCTGCCAGACTCTCCTTTCTGATTCGTTCTCCCTTTAACAAATAACCCCTCTGCCGAAGTTTCTGTATTGCTCTCAAACGCCCTTTTCTGCAACTCCTTATAATTCAGAGTTGCCTTCACGTCTTCCATGGACAAGGTAGTTCTGCCATTCATCATTGTATCGACAAAGTTCTCATATGAGGGTGGTAGAGAACACAACAGAATAATAGCCTGATCTTCATCCTCTATCTTGACATCAATATTATTCAAATCCATGATGACACTATTTACATCGTCAAGATGGTTTTTCAGAGGCGAACCTTCATGCAATTGAAGAGTGAACAAGCACTTCTTTAGAAACAAGCGATTTGCAAGAGATTTCGTCATATAACGGGACTTAACTTCTGCTACAGCCCATTCGCCGTAGTCTCTCTAGCAACTTCTCGCAGAACCTCGTTACTCAAGCACAACAAAATCGTATTGTGTGCTTTCTCCATAACCTCATCTTTGTCTTTGATCTTTTCTGGCAGTGCATCCTTCCCCTTCAACTCCTTGGATAACCCTTGTTGAACCAACAAAGCTTGCATCCTAACCCGCCACAGGTTGAAATCGTTTCTGCCGTTAAACTTCTCGATTTCCAGAAACTTGGACAACATCCCTGCTTTGAACCGAAAGCTCTGATACCAGTTTGTTATGACAAACGCAACGAACCCAAGTTGAATCAAGAATCAGGACAGAAAAGTAAACACATCACACAAAGAACACAAAGATTTGTACGTGGTTCAGCAACAACCTACGTCCACGGTCAGGATCCAGCGAAAGTTTTCACTATGTGTAAAATTGGAGATTACAAGATTTCAGCCCCCCACTCTGTTTCTGTATGAATTCCAGAGTTTCTCTACCTCAATCTCTTTTATTCTCAACCTAAAACTTATGTACCTATTTATAGAGTTACAAACATAATTCCTTGTTGGACATGGATTACAATTCCTTGGAGGCAAAGACTTGCCAAATAAGAAATTACCTAATAGAATACAACTCTAAAATATAATCCTAATTAGAATAGGAATTTGTGACACAATTTCCAACACACACATACAAGTGCCAACAACTTCTCCCGTGATGTGGGATGTCACAATAGCCCCTGTTGTGACCTAGAGTCCTCGATGGCCTGACCTTCATGGACTTGTGCATGCTTCCCCCATTTTCGACTGGGGTTTGACTCTAGTATCATCTGTTAGACTACACCCCCAAACATGAATAGCTCTAAAAACCTGAGCTAGTTTCAATATCAAAATCCAAAGCATGGATTGTGTAAAACGGCAATATGTACACAGCGGGGTGGGTCCTGACACCTCCCATGGGCAGAGATTTTTTTTTTTGTTGAGAAATGTAGCATTTACAAAATTAAATACAGAAACTGACTGCAAAGAGAATTCCTAATAGAATTCGACTTATGACTTAACTATTCTAATCATTATATAACCTAATAGAATTCCTCTGTTTATCTGAAATAAATAGAAAATATTTCAAATAAAATATAGTCCAAATAAAACCAGTACAGATCACATGGTGGGTTTCTGTAGAATTGTTAAGTGCCTATCTGGCCACTGATTATATTGTGATATATGGTTCAAGGACAGTATAATTTTGTAATCGAAGAGGCACTAGCTGTATTCATAAGCAGTTCTCTATTAATGTGCAGTTCTGTGCTAGACAACAGGGTCACTTAGATGAAATCATGACAGCCCATGTTTGTATGATGACTGTGATACTTGTCATTTCAAAAGATATATTTTCCATAAACACTAGAGGGGTAAAATGTGCCTTGATATTCCCACATATCTTTTCTTTCTCTTTACAATAATTCTTTATTATGCAACAATTATCTTTCACAATACTCCCTTGTGCCAAGTTTCAATCTACTATTTGTCAGACCAAAACTCCTCCTATACCAAAAGCACTATGGTACAAACATTGTGATACGTGAAATAGGATGGAATTGATAAATATTAAAGACCTCAGTACTTAATAGTACTAAATGGTAGCCATCCACCTTGGAATTTGTGCATGATATGATTGAATTTGTGCATAGCCTGTTTCTGGAGTATACAAGATCAATTTGTGTTAAGTTTATCACCTCAATGGCATGAATTCCCATATAGTGAATTGTGCATGTGCATGTATACTTGTGTAACATAGCCCATGTGCTACTCCTAGGACGGTAAAGAAAAAAAAAAAGGAATAAGAAAGGGACTGTCATATTCTCCAAGCTCGAACTACCCCAATTGATTGTTTATATTGTGTATTTCTGGTCGGCCCATTTTCAAGTTAATTTCTTTAAGGAAGAGTCCAGGCCAAGTTCTTTTCATAGTAAAGAAGGTATGCTAGTGCTGGCCTACGTAGAATACTAGTAGGGAAAGCCAGGAGATGGACTTAACATTTGGAATTATTTGCATGAAGTGGCTTTCTTGTGAAATTTGCTTGTGCATGTTAGTCTGCGGTTTTACCATTGAACGAAGTAGATGTCCTTCGGTACTTCTTGCATATATAATGTTTTTTTATGAATGTACATATACATATTCATATACATATTTAGAATTGATTTGTTACTGTTATGCCCTATGTATTTATGCATTGTTTTTTAATTAGAGAAACAAGAATGACTTTCTTTGTGATGTAGAATGTGAAGTTGATTCTGATTTTGATAAAACATCAAATACAACGGAAGGAGGTCGTGCAGATGCACAGTCGCTGCTTGAAAAGGAAGACCAGGACTTGCAGAAAGCAGTGTCTGAAATTACTGAAGTGCAGGTGTGTGAAACTCCAGCACTCGTGAAGATACAGTAATTTCCTAAAAGCTGTTTCGGGGTATAACCTCCTTTCTGTTGTACATTTTGCAGATGAAGAAGTTTCAAGATAAGGTTATTTGTTTTGAGGAGTTTGAATTACAGATGGAGAGGGAGTGGCAACAACTGCAACAAATGAAAAACATGTTGTTTGTTGATCAGCTGACTCTTTTTTGCCATAAGACCTCTGTGCCAAAAACTGGAGAAAGAACAGAGGAAATTGTAAAATCAGAATGATGTCTGGTGATTATCATCTTTTCCTTAAAAAACAAAAAATCATTAGAAGTCTAATATTCTGTTGTCCATTTGAATTTATTTTTTATTTTTTTATCTTTTATCTGTTATTTTTATTTTTTTGCCAGGGATTAGTCGAACTAGTGAGAGGATTGTGTGTAATTATTAGTGCAACGTCTATCTTATGACCAGTGTCTTTGTTAATTTCTGGAGAAGTGGAAATATACGAATGTCATCACCAACTAAAAGGATTATTATATCTTGTTAATGTCAAATGTACTACCATGTGCAAATCAGTTGCTTGAGCAAGCATCGGATGCAATAACTACAATCTAAGCTCTCCTACAAAATAAAAGGAAAAAGAAAAAAAGAAAATGAGAAAAACTTATGTGACACACCTTGTAAAAGTTTGTGTTTATCCCATTATTTCTGGACAAGTGGAAAGTTGACATGTGACACCATACTAGATTAATATTCGAGCAACAGGAAAAGAACTTACAATCAGGGATGAGAGAGGACTACTACCTCGTAGGCAGTTCCACCTAGCCTCCCAAGTTTGAAACATGGAACTGCTTGGTTGCCTTTAGCCTTCACGTGGAACTAAAGGCACGTGGAACTAAAGGAGTGGTCAAGAACAGGAATGATCGTTTGAACAGGAATGATCGTATGAGGTGAGGTGCACTAAAAGGAGAAAGCATGTGCCAAACAATTGCCACGTGAGGTGAGGTGTACAATTGCCACGTGTAAGGTTTGGATTGCCAAAGAATTTAAGATAATGGAATGATCATATGAGATGAGGTGAGGTGTACTAAAAGGAGAAAGTTGGTGGCAATCAATTACCACGTGTAAGGTTTGGATTGTATAATTTAAGATGATATTTGACTTTGTCAAATAAAGAAACGTGTGTAAGTTAGGATTATGCCTAAAATTTAGGAGTCCCATTAAGTGAGGGATTGCAAAAGAAGAAGAAGATCTCTTAAAGGGCTAAGATTTAGTTAAAGTACATTACAAAGAGAAGAGATTTTAGGAGGAGGTTGCCATATGAATTGCATAATATCCAAAGTGGGTCAAAACTGCTTAAAGAAGTTGCTATAATATTGGTGTCGTGCATAAAATTAGAATGTGAGATTCAGTTTTTCAAATTAAAAGGGGTTATATGCGGCATAATCCTAGCAAAAATGGTGTATGTGGCTGCCATACAAGGAAAGTTTTGTGTCATAGTTAACTATATCAACTATACCAAGTGATGTGTCAACTCTAGAAGGCCGCCACTTGCCTTATTTAGGTGAGGAGGTTGCTAAAAATCAACAAGTGGGCTGAAAACATGAAGCATTTACCAAAAAAAGCTTGGGACACGTGACAAGATTCGGACCTTCCAGGTTTAAGTTTTCAACTGCTGCTAGAACCGCTGCCTTTCCATTTGGACAGTTCCAGAACGTGGGTAAATGCTTGCAACAAGCATTCAACCACTAAAACTACTCATTCAAAACTGAAATTTATGGGACATCATGTTCTTACATGTGTCAATACATAGGACACATGACATAGGAAGACATAGGACACGTGACACGATCCGGACCTTCCAGTGGAAGTTTTCAACTGCTGCTGGAACCGCCGCCGCAGTTTCAGAACGTGGGAAAATGGTTGTAATATGCATTAAACCACCAAAACCACTATTTATAAGTTGTAGATTGTGACGCCCTGGTTTTTTAAGCCAGTGCGTCCTATGATGAATCGTAGTTTAACCCGATAACGGATTCGAAATGCGGAAACGGAAACAAAAAACAAGTCTCTAGGGATATACAACATCCCTAGGACATTAAAGTGACCTTCCATGAGGCCACAGAGGTCCACGAGAACCAATGCGGAAGAAAAGATCAGAAAAAGACCAAATAAGCCCCCAAGGGCAAAATGGTCTTTTTACATGGAAGCAACATCTTTGGAAATGTATATCATTCTCAAGACATATCTGCGACTTCCCATGAAATTACGGAACTCATAAGAAAGCATAGCGGAAGCAATTTAAAAAAAAAAAGAAAATCGGACAAGTTTGGCCCTAAGGGAAAAATAGTAATTTTCAGCAAGATCTATGTGCTACCGAGCACACCATTGGAAAAATAGCAAAAATTAATCAAGTTAGACTCAAGAATCACTTGATTCGGAGTCCAGATGGAAGAGAAAAGTTAAAACAAAGTTTTGACGTCGCCGAGGCTGTGAATAGTGTTTTGACAGCAATGAACAGTTATTTGATAGCAGTGAATAGTGACCTGGGCAAAATGATGAAATTTGTGTGCTGTTTTGAGGCACTAAATGACGTTTTTTGGAGTGCTAAAATGATCATGCACGCAAACGTACATAGTGATTTTAAGCACGCAGGAATGGTCCGCGGTTCCCAAGAATGCCCGATACAAAATACGACCTATCCGAACCTTAAAATGCAAAGAAAATGCTTTAAATGGAAAACTTGAGACTAACAAGCATCCATTTCATACAAATGTCATATTTTGTACAAGGTGAGCATTCACGCAAACGTAATATACATATTTACACGCATTCCAATGGCCTACGACCTCAATGGTCGCTAAATACAAAATATCACATATTAAACCTCAAATTTTGCCTAAACTGGCTTTAAAAGGAAAATTTGAAACTCAAAATTACAAAATGGTTTCAAATGACCGTTTGGCCCCTGGCCACACTTCATGTATGATTTAAGAGACCCTATGGAAATGTTAAAACCCACTTCCCACCACCCATGCAAATGTAGTGACATTAAAGCATGACATTTTCCTATTTTTCAATAAAATAGGCATGAAAGTAAAAGTGTTTAGAATACAAAATAAATGTCATTGGCCCATGACCTCATCTTATACATGTCAAATACATCATAAAAGGTGTACTTATGTACACATTACATATTTAGAACAAAATATACAAGTTTTGACATATAAAGCTATAAATAGCAATTAATGCTAACATTTGCATGAATTATAAACTTTAAGTCTACAAATCATCCCATGCATAATGTGAATCTCGAATCTTGATTCCTGTACTTGAAAAATATCCCCAATACGTGGGTGAGTAACATAAAGCTACTCGTAGGAGATGAGCATACAAAGACTTAGCGTTTTACAAACTTATTAAATTGATATAAATCAATTCATACGGTCATGCCACCTAGCGTCTATGTCAAAGGTGAGACTCAAGGAGCATCCTAAGTTACTTTAGAGCATTTCTAGCATAAACCACATCATTCATGTAATTTAACAACGTAGGAGCATATAGTGTAATGTAACAAGATGTAGGTATTCAAAGTTATCAACTTGGAACCTAAAATGCGAAAACAATCGAAACGGTTCATGCCACTTAACGTCTATGTTCCAAATGAGTTTAAGGAATCATCCTAGGCTACATTGAACAATTAAAACATAAATTACAATTTCAATGCAATTTTAACTAACATTAGAACTTCTAATACAACGCATCAAGGCATAGATTATCAAAGTTAACAACTTGAAATCTAAAATACGGAAATAACAAGTTATAACAATTTAGTGCTATTAACTTGTATTGAAAAGCAAGGCATGCAAGTATACTAAGCACGTGTATACCACACCTAATTGAAATGTCAAATTCCACATCACAAGCTATAAATAATCCATATTAAACAACTTGAAATTGAATGCGAAATCAAGTAGTGGCAGAAAGACAATGACATATGGTCTCAATGACCAGGTAAATGATTTTGTGTTACTAGCCCTCAAGGTGCTACCTAGTGCGCACTAAACCCAGAATAAAACCGTATATTGGTATTTTTGGGTTACTAGCCCTCAGGGAACCACCCAATGTGCACTCTATGTTGTAGGGGGAGTTCTCATCCCCCGTACTAGAGCCATGCCCTAACCGTAACATATTCCAATGTCCGTGTAAGCTTTCCTAAAATCAACAAGTTGTGCATTAAGGTATAATACAAATACACAATATATTAGTCAACTACCGTGCACAACAAGTCATGTAAAACACACAATATTCGTCCTATGTCTTCAAGCTACAATGACATACGACATGTCAAATATATAATGTGTATATAAGTAAGTTAAACTATAACTTCTACTCATGGAATACTATAATGTAATTATATAACAAGTTCCAAATTTACAAGTTAAGCATGAAAACAACTTCAATACCTAACTACCTCAATGGAAGGATAAAATGTAATTTAATTATATTAAATAATTAAATTAAATTAAATAATTAAATTCTTAAGATTACCAAGCAACTTCAAATATTTTAAAAATGATATAGGTCGAAGGTCATGGGAAGGCTTAGTTTAATATCACATTACAAGTTATTTCTACTTAAATTACGACTAGGTAAATTAAACTTCATGCAAGAGAATAATTAAATAAAGTTCTCCACACTCATTCAAATATTCTCATTTTAATGAACATATCCTAATTTAATATCACATTGCAAGTTCATTCCATGCTAGGTACAACCATGTGAATTAAATTCCATACAAAGAAAATAATTAAATAAAAGTCTCAAAACTTATTCAAATATTTTCAATTTAATGTAAATGATAGAACATGCCAAACTCATCAACAATATCAAGTTAAAAATCCAATTTAGTGCTTATAACACTTAAAAGAAAATTAATTAATCTCTAGATTTTAAAACAACTCCGAATGCACTCAATTTAACATAGGTTAAAGAACATACCAATGCCTATTTTAATATCACATTATAAGTTGATTCCATGCAAGCTACAACCATGTGAATTAAATTTTCATTCAAGAAAATAATTAAATCAAAGTTTCAAAATTATTCAAATACACCCAATTTAATATATGTTAATGAACATATCAATGCATAATTTAATAGCATGCCACAATTTAATTCCAAACTATATATAACCATGAGAATTAAATCTTATAAATAGAAAATAATTAAATTAAATTCTAGAACTTGAACAAAGGTATGCTTACAAGTTGTATATGCTTAGAAAACAATCAATACAACATAAATATAATCCTAAGACATCCCTTACATCATTTTGTGATGAAATCACAAATCCTCACCGAAAGAAAACTGCTCCGAATCCGACGATACTTCTAGATTTTGTCGGGAACTATGAGGGAAACACCAATCACCTTTGAGGTACCACGAAAATCCAATCCCGAACTCAAAAATGGTCGAAAACG